CAGGGCTTGCAGTGAGCTGAGATCCGGCCACTGCACTCCAGCCTGGGCGACAGAGCGAGACTCCGTCTCAAAAAAAAAAAAAAAAAAAAGAGGTGGAGCCTCTGGGATGTGATTAGATCTAAGTACCCTTATAAAAGGCCAAGGGAGCTTGTTTTTCCTCCACAGTGTGAGGACGCAGTGAGAAGGCACTGTCTGTGAGGATAGGGCTGTCACCAGACACTGACTCTACCTTAACCTTGGACTTCCTGGCCACCAGAGCTGTGAGAAATGAATTTCTGTTGTTTAGAAGCCACCCAGTCTATGGTCCGGCAGCCAGAACGGACAGAGACACTGCTCCCCGTCCTGTCTGTGGTGTTCCTGGGGAGTCCTGGCTGGGGTAATGTGTCCCTGGGCTTCTCTGGTTCTCGCTGAATTTGGCACAGGTGCCCTCTGAATAGAAGGGGACAATTTAATTGCTTTCTATGCACTGAAGTCTCTTGAGCTCAGGCTTTTTGCTAATGTGACTGGGCTTGAGCCAAAATAGACCCTTGAATTGGAAGTTCGAAGACGTATTTTCATGTCCAGCATAGGGATTTCTTTATCTTTTTTTTTTTTTTTTTTTTTTTAGAAAGGATCTCCCTCCTCACCTAGGCTGGAGTGCAGTGGCGTCATCTCAGTTCATGGCAACCTCTGCCTCCTGAGTTCAAGTGATTCTCCTGCCTCAGCCTCCTGAGTAGCTGGGATTACAGGCATGCGCCGCCACACCCAGCTAATTTTTAAATTTTTAGTAGAGATGGGGTTTCACCATGTTGGCCGGGCTGGTCTTGAACTCCTGACCTCAAGTGATCCACCTGCCTCAGCCTCCCAAAGTGCTGGGATTACAGGCGTGAGCCACCATGCCCAGCTAGAATTTCTCTCTCTTAATGAAATATTTAATTTATCTGAGATCAAATTGTTTGAAGTCCTTAGACACACTTAACACATGTTTTGTAACATCTGACCATTCTTACCTCTTTATGGACAGATTTCCCCAGGGACTTCTACCAACCAGTGATTTTCTATCCCGGTTCAGATCTGTGTGTTCAAAAGTACCAAACAGCCTTTTGTCTTAGGTTATATGGAATCACATTTTCCACGAATTCATTTCAGCTTGCCTAGAACCACGTTGATTTATCTAGGTTTAACTTGTCAGGAGTTTCTTGGCATTTCCAGTGGGTTTTGACTCCTGGCATGGTCCAAAATCTCTCCACTGAATGGTTAGGTTCAGAGAGACTGAACTCTGTTACCCCTTACTTGAGACTAGACAAAAGCGCGCAGCGGCCCCCCCACCTCTCTCCACTCTCATCCCACCTGGAGTGCAAAACACGCACTTTCAGATGAAACTTGACTCATGCATTCTCAGGGTTGATGAGGGATTTCCCTGATCACAAAGTGGGTGAAATCTCCTCTCTGGCCACGTGCAGTAGAACTGTGTACTCTCAGGGCAGCCACTTGGAAAACTTGATGGCTAACGAGGTCTAGTACTGGGCTTCAGAGTGGGAGTTTCTAAGGATTTTTATTTTTTATTTTTTAAATTTTTATGAACTGAAAAAGTATTGCCAGGGCCCAGAAGCCACCTCATGCCCACTTCTTGTCACTACTCCCCAAGGTGAACCACTATCCTGAATTCTAACACTCCATTTTGAACTTTATATCAATTGAATATGATCTGTGCTTTTTTGTGAAAGAAACTAGACACAAGAAAAGCACAGATCCTGTAATTCCCATGAGTTACACACATGCGTGTAGTTCATTCACATTCTCTTCGCTGAGAGTTTTCCATTGTGTAGCTATTACTTCCTTTATTCACCCATTCTGACGCTGATGGGGGTTTGCAATTTTTTTTTTTTTGGAGACGGAGTCTCGCTCTGTTGCCCAGGCTAGAGTGCAGTGGCACGATCTCGGTTCACTGCAACCTCCACCTCCATTGTTCGAGCAATTCCCCTGCCTCAGCCTCCCGAATAGCTGGTATTACAGGTGCATGCCACCATGCCTGGCTAATTTTTTTTTTATTTTTTATTTTTAGTAGAAATAGGGTTTCACCACGTTGGCCAGACTGGTCTTGAATTCCTGACCTCAGGCAGTCTGCCCATCTCAGCCTCCCAAAGTGCTGGGATTACAGGTGTGAGCCACTGCTCCTGGCCACAAGTTTTTAAACACATGATCGCTTCTGAACAGCCTGGAAACTTCTGAGTCTTTTATATTTTTTCTGAGACAGAGTTTCACTCTGTCGCCCAAGCTGGAGTGCAGTGGCATGATCTCAGCTCACAGCAACCTCTGCCTCCGAGGTTCAGGTGATTCTCCTGCCTCAGCCTCCTGAGTAGCTGGGAATACAGGCGTGCACCACCATGCCTGGCTGATTTTTTTGTATTTTTATTAGAGATGGGTTTGCACCATGTTGGCCAGGCTGGTCTTGAACTCCTGACCTCAAGTGATCTGCTGGTCTTGGCCTCTCAAAGTGCTGGGATTACAGGCGTGAGCCCACCGTGCCTGGCTAGCTTCCGAGTCTTACGAAGGCCTGTCATTATTGTCCTTTCCTCACACACAGCGTGCTTGAGGGAGAAGAGGCCACAGCCAGGCAGGAGAATGGCTGTCTGTGGGCTCTGAAGTGCTTGCCTCAGTGAATCCATGGCTTATTAACACCTGCTCATTCGGCTTGAGTTTGGGAGTATTGTCAGCAGACGAGGCCTGCCTTGGTGTCCTGGAATTGCTCTTTACATTCAGCATTGTTCTGGGGTGGTGCTCACTCTTGACTTTGATCCTGGGGGAACATGGTTATGGGGTGGTGGTGGCAGAACTCTGTGCGCATGTGCATGTGTGTGTACGTACATGTGGACAAACACCAAAGTGCGGTGACTGAAGGCCAGGTGAGAGGTGAGAGAAAGAGGGAACAACTGCATTATAAGTGGCTTCAGCTGATCATGTTTTACCTCTTATATTTTCCCCCTAAGAAATGAACTTCTCTTGCATCTGAAGACCTACAACTTGTACTATGAAGGCCAGAATTTACAGCTACGGCACCGGGAGGTGAGGAGTCTCCAGGGAAGGCCCTGATTGGCTAGTCCAGACCTTGTCCCCGTGTGTCCTGGATCTGAAGGTCCCTGAGGTTCCGAGAGATCCCTGCCTCTCCTGCTTCTCGTTTAGGATGCTAGTGGGGGTCCTTGGGGTTCTTTGGAAGAAGACTCCAGGCCCAGTTTTGTTGTAAAAAGGGTGAATGTTTCAGAGATGTGTTCCAGAGACATTCCTGTAGAAGTGTGGCTGGGCTAGCACAGTCTCATGGGGGAGATTCTCCAGAGGGAGCTTTCATGAAATGACCTTTCCAGGTGGCTCCCAAGCAGGCGTCCTCTCGTTGGGCAATTCGGGAGCCCCACCCAGTCCTCTGTGTTTAAACATTTGGGCCCAAGTCCTGTCGCTGCAGTGACCTGGGCAAAGCACATAAGCTCTTGATGGTAGCACTTGACCCATCCCCACACCTGGTCATCCTAGTTTGCTTTTGTTATTCATCTGGTTCCCATCCCGAAACCGAGCTTCCTCATCCTGTATCCATTTCTCTAAAGCCTGTTATCAGATAGATGGTGAGTTATAAAGGAGTCTGGTAGGGTACTTTATACCCAAGCACTCGTGACTGATAAAAAGGTCCATATGTGTAATGCCCTTTGAAACACATTTTCAGGTTATCAGGCTGTGGAGATTTAATCCATAGAAACAGATAACAGATGGTGGAATTTCAGCTGCTAGGGCAGGTTGCTTGGGGACAGTATGTGGGATGTAGTGGCCTATTCTGTCCCTCAAACCACCCCACTTAGATAAAATCCTGTTTTGGGTTAAATTTTGACCTACAGTTGTGTAAAGTGATGATGCCCACCTTGACGAGGGGAAGGCCATGTAAATTGCCAATGTTTACATAAAGCCTTCCTCCCTGGGACTCCTAAGTGCCCTAAAATTGTTTCATTTCTCTCCTTCCCTCTTTTATTCCTTCCTCCCTCTTTGAGGATGATGTTGGGCCTCATTGGGCTGATGTCATTTTCACCTATGGGGCTTGTCCTGAAGATGTGGCTCATGACCCAGATCTACCACTTGATCAGCCCATAAAACATGGCTTCAAAAAGGTTCTTCTGAGACTGAAGGGAGGAGAACGGATTCTTTTCGGGATTGCCCTTCAAGCTTTTACTCATCAGCAACTGGGCCATGCAAGATTTTAAATAGTTTGTAAATAGCTTTCCTGGGTTATGTCCTATCGAATAAATGATTAAAAGTGCTCCATGATTAAAGGATTTCATAGTCATAAGCGAGTCCCAAGTCTTTGGGATGGAACATATAAATGCCTTTAGAATGGTTTTACATTTAACGTATTTAACGTCTAATTAGTCAGCAACCTTTGAGAATAAACTGGGGACTCCTGCAAGATTTATTCACCTGTTGCAGAGTTGTCATTTAGCCCGTTAGTTGATTACAGAACCTGGGACGTTCTGCTGTTTGGAAATCTGATTAGCACAGCCTCTCCCAGCTCATGATCACTTGACACCCTTTTAAAGACAACAGTTCATCTGCTAGAGGAGGTGGTGTTCTGTAGAATAAACTTCGGCAAATGTTGCTTTAAATTTCCTTCAACCACCAGGTTGGGTTGCTAAACATATGTTATAGCTACAGAGACACCATTTTCCATAGTAGGGGATGGGACGTAGCTAACTCCAGTTCTTGCTTCTGTTAGCAAGGCTAATCTCATGTATTTTAAGAGATGTATTCTGCTTTCTTTAAAAGTCGTTAGGATAAAAAGAAAAACAATGCTTTTATAATTTGCACCTATATATTTGAATTTCACAGCAACTTTTGTGCTGACCTGTGAGGTCCGCTTCAGTATCTAGGGTAGTTTACCTTAGAAAGTGTCTCAGAGCTGGGGTGTGAACTGGGCAGCTACCCCCATCCTGTGAATAGAATCTGGGGCACCCAACTAGGACATATGAAGAATGTGTCATTTGTACCTCAGCATGGTCTTGGCGTCTGTGGGGGCTTTTCCAGGCTCACCACTCTGATTGCTTTGTGGGCAGGAAGAAGACGAGTTCATCGTGGAGGGACTCCTGAACATCTCCTGGGGCCTGCGCCGCCCCATTCGCCTGCAGATGCAGGATGACAACGAGCGCATTCGGCCCCCTCCGTCCTCCTCCTCCTGGCACTCCGGCTGTAACCTGGGGGCTCAGGGGTGAGTCAGAAGAGACGGTGCCGGGAGATGACCGGGATGCCTGGGGGTTCTGTGTGTTCTCAAGCAGATAAATGCTGCCTTCTTCCAGCCAGCCCTGACCCTGGCTCCTCCTCCTGCCACCTCTACTGCCCACCTGCCTTGGCCTTGGAATGAGGAACAAGGAGCAGACATGGTTGTGATTGGACCCCCTTCCTGTCACCACAATCACTGATGAGGTCACAGAAGGGAGCTGCCGAGTCATAGGAGGGGAGATGCTGAGTCACAGAGTCCTCCCTTAGGGAGAACTCAGGAGTCTCTGGGTGGAGTTGCTAGTGGCTAGTGAGGCCCAGTCTGCAGATTTCTAACAGAGCGCCCCATGCCCCAGCATCCTCCCGACTAGGACCACTCCTCATAGAATGGCCCCGCTCCAAGGCATTTACGACTTGAACCTTCTGACCAAAGCTCTCTGAATCTTGGGGGAACCTGGAAGAGGAAAAGGAATGTCAGGCTCTGTCAGAGTCAGCTAAGCGAGATCAGCCAGGGGTCTGCTCTCTGCAGACCACATGGGGAGCCAGGGTGTGGTGTGATGGTGGGTAGTCCAAGTCCCCACCGGAAGGGCTGGGAAGACCTAGTCCATCCCTCCTTATCCTCCATGGCTGAATAAGCCGCGGAATGCACCGCCAGATGCCTCTAGCAAGGCGTGCCTTCTTCATTGTCTTTCTGGGACTTGAGTTTTAGGATCAAGTGACTAGCCTGGCTCCATCCTGAAACCTGCTGATGCTGACTGCCTTCGGCCCCAGCCTGGGTGGAGTGTGCTCGCCTCTCAGCCAAAACCACAATGACCTTTTTTTTTCTGGTTTAAATGAGAACCAAGCCCTCTCTGTTGGTCACATTGAACATTTTGCTAAACTCCATAGCCAAATCTATGTTTCTCTACTATTGAGAGAAACCTAGTATGTGGCCAAACCCTGGGGCCGGTCTGGTTTCTTTCCAAGGGGATTTAAGAGGAAAATTGTTGCCTACCCCATGGGTGCTAGGATGTCTGGTTAACGTTCTTTGGTTTCATCTAACTTTGCTGGTTTCATGCTCTGCTTTTCAGCATTATCACCGCATTTTTGTTTTGTTTTGTTTGAGACAAGGTCTCGCTGTGTTTCCCAGGCTGGAGTACAGTGGCTTAATCACAGCTCACTGCAGCCTCAACCTCCTAGGCTCAAGTGATTCTCCCACCTCAGGCTCCCCAGCAGCTGGGACTACAGGTGCACCCCCCCCATCACCTTTTTTTTTTTCTGTTGCCCAGGCTGGAGTGCCGTGGTGCGATGTCAGCTCACTACAACCTCTGCCTCTCGGGTTCAAGCGATTTGTGCCTCAGCCCCCTGAGTAGCTGGGATTACAGGTGCCCACCACCAAACCCAGTCATTTTTTGTATTTTTTGGTAGAGAGGGGGTTTCATCATGTTGGCCAGGCTGGTCTTGAACTCATGATCTCAAGTTATCCACCCTCCTTGACCTCCCAAAGTTCCGGGACCACAGGCGTGAGCCACCGTTCCTGGCCCTACCTGGATAATTTTCGTATTTTTTGTAGAAATGGGGTCTCACTATGTTGCCCAGGTTGGTCTCAAACTTCTGGCCTCAGGCAGTCCTCCCACCTTGACCTCCCAAAGTGCTGGGATTATAGGTGTGAGCCACCATGCCCAGCTGTATTTGTTACACTGTACTGTATTTGTTATACTATACTATATTATCTCTGTATTTGATTTCCAATGGCCAAGCCCATTTCACAGCCTGACCCTGACCCCCACACTATTCTATTCCCTAAGTGAGATGATTTTTAAGATTTCGTTTGACCCTGTGGCCTTTGGTTTGGGCTGCTAAGGGGTCCTTCACTCTGCCTGCTTCTTCTCCCTTCTCTGTGGCCTCAAGCTGGTCTTGGTTGACTCTTGAAACCTGCAAAATACTTTGGTAGAATTTTCAGGAATAGTAAATGATGTCTTTTAGATGTCAGCTATAATACAGTGAATGCCTAGACTACTGTCTTAAGAATAAGGATCCTGAGGCTGGGCACAGTGGCTCACGCCTATAATCCCAGCACTTTGGGAGGCTGAGGCGGGCGGATCACGAGCTCAGGAATTCAAGACCAGCCTGGGCAACATGGTGAAACCCTATCTCTACCAAAAAAAAAAAAAAAAAAAAAAAAAAAGGCCAGGCACAGTGGCAACCGGCTATAATCTCAGCTACTTAGGAGGCTGAGGCAGGACAATCACTTGAACCTGGGAGGCAGAGATTGCTGTGAGCCAAGATCGCACCACTGCACTCCGGCCTGGGTGACAGAGCAAGACTCCGTCCCCCTGCCCCACCAAAAAAAAAAAAAAAAAAGGAAAAAGAAAAAAAGGATGCTGAGACCAGCAAGAATGAGGGCTTTAAATCAGGGAGTGGGACTGGCTGCTCTGGGTCCCAAGTGTTCACCATTCCCCAGAAGCTCTGACCAGGCCCATTCTGTGGCTCAGAAGTATATGAGTTAAATTACAATAGGAAGTTCTTTCAGATTTTCCATCTTAATTGTCCTTCCTCAAAACGATCCTCCCCAGAACATGAGGTTTATCTCTACTGGGTCCCAGGGAGCCCATGCTCTTCTCACCATGGGTTGGTCCTAATTGGTCAAATATGATTCTCCTTTACAGCCAAATCCTCTGTTGATTTTAGATGTTTTTATGAGCTGCTCCCTTTGTCCTTTTTGGTTTTGAGAAGTTATTTGCCAGTTATGATGGCAAACCAGGGTCTCAGCTTGGACTGCCTACTTGTAACCCTTTCTTTAGCTTGGATGAGGACTCTGTCCTTGCAACCCTGAGAACACTGTCAGTGCCCCTTCCAAAGCTGCCCCTGCCCTTGTGGTGGCCAACCTCTTACTTTCCATTCCTTTTAAATGCCAGAATCAATTATGAGTTATTTCTTCAACAGCAATGAGTCTGAACTGGAATCTCACCCTGCAAAACAAATGGCCATTATTAGAGTTTTCCAAATAAGCTATAGAACCCATACATGCTTAGAAGCAGTGCGGGCAGCACATAGGTTTCTCTCCTTGGTATTCTCCATCCTGGGCTTGATGAATTGGATGCTTGTGTTGCTGCAGATGCTGGAAAAGAACATCTTCTCCCCTCCAGAACGCCCCCTGCACCACCCACTGCTTGACCTGGGAGCTGGGCCAGCCTTTCATGGGATACTCAGCACAGCCCATCTGTACCCTTCATCTTCTGATGTGTGCCAGTACCCAGCCTGGCACTAGCAAAGTGCTCCCCCTGCAGGAGTGGGGTCTGGCGGGTGCAGGGCATCTTTCCACAGGGGTTAAACTAGTCTCTCCCCTCCCCTTTGTCTTCTCCACCCACAGAACCACCCTGAAGCCCCTGACTGTGCCCAATGTTCAGATCTCAGAGGTGGATGCACCGCCGGAGGGTGACCAGATGCCAGGCCCCACAGGTACATGCAAGTAGAAGGTGCTTCCAGCTAGGGACCAACTGTGTCAAGACCGCTGTGATAGATGTTGTCAACTGTTACTTATTTTTGAGAATGTAAAATGTATATGGTTCAAGATACAAAGGGAGAGAATTAAATCACCTACCTCATCCACCCACCTAGAAGCATCCCAAGAACATCCTTCATGAGATGGCCCATGCAAATATAAGCAAAACACACTCACATACCTTTATGGGTGGATGTAGTTTCTTTCTTCCTCTCCCCTCCCCTTCCCTCCCTTCCCCTGCCCTCCCCTCTCCTTCCTTTCCCTTCCCTTCCCTTCCCTTTGTCTCCCTCTGTCACCCAGGAGGATGCAGTGCAGTAGTGCAATCTTGGCTCTGCTTCCTGGGTTCAAGTGATCCTCCCACCTCAGCCTCCTGAGTAGCTGGGATTAAAGACATGCACCACCATGCCCAGCTAATTTTTGCATTTTTAGTGGTGACGGGTTTTTGCCATGTTGACCAGGCTGGTCTTGAACTCCTGGCCTCAAGTGATCTGCCCGCCTCAGCCTCCCAAAGTGCTGGGATTATAGGCATGAGCCACCACGCCTGGTCGGATGCATTTTCTTTTCTTCCCCTAGTTATACAAGTGGTAGCATTGTGCAGATCCCAGTTTTTATTTATCGGGTTATCTGGGGAATTTTTCCATATAAATTTGTAAAGAACTTCCTTATTCTTTACAGCTCTGCATTATTTCATTGTATGGAAAAAGGATAATTTATGTAATCACTCCCTATTGGTAGACATTTAAGTCATTTTCAGCCTCTGCTATGACAAATAAGTTTGCAGTCGGTGGCCTTATACATGTGTCATGTCACACATTTGTCAGCGTGTAGAATTCTTTCAAGTGGAATTTCTTAAGGTCATATGCATTTTTAATTTTCATAGATATTGTCAGTTTGCAAAATCTTTTTTATATTACATGGATTAAATATATTTTAATAAGAGCAGATTAACCTACTTGTGATTAATGTCAATATTTTATATTTATACACATACAAGGATAGAAATATGCCATGGGAACCCCATATATTTTTAGATATATGTTCTATTAAGCATTCTTTTTTCTAATTTTTTTATTGTGGTAAGATATACATAGCATAAGATTTACCATCATAACCATTTTAAGTGGTACGGTTCAGTGGTATTAAATACACTCATAATGTTGCGCAACCATCACCACCATCCATCTCGAAAACTCTTTGCATCTTGTGAAACTGAAACTCTGTACCCATTGAACTCCCAATAACTCCCCATATCCTTCTCTCTCTAGTCCCTGGCAACCACCATTCTACTCTCTGTCTCTGTAATTTCGAATGTACCTAGAACATACTTAGAGTGTACCTCAATTATATGAGATACACTTACATGAGGTACACTCTAAGTACCTCATATATGTGGAATCATTCCATATTTGCTGTTTTGTAATTGGCTTGTTGCACTTAGCGTAATGTCATCAAGATTCATCCGTGTGTAGCATGTGTCAGAGTTCGTTTGCAGTATCTTGTTAGCCCTTATGTCACGTTTATTCTGTGCCAGGCACTATTCTAAGTGCTTTATGCATATTAACTCATTTAAACCCTCTGAGGTGGGTGTTACTATTATCCCTATTTTATATATAAAAACACCGAGGCACAGAGAGGTTAGTGATATATGGCAATCGTGGAGCTGAGATTTGAACCCAGGGAGTCTGGCTTGGAAGTCTGTGCTCTGAACTTATCACCATATAGCTTCTCTGTAAATTCTGCATTATGTTTTTCCCCAGCAGAAAATACTATTTGTATAAAATATATATTTTTGGAGACAGTGGGTGCTGTAGCACTGGGCACAAAGTGAGGACCATGTGCCATGTTGCAGGTCCAGACAGAGTTCATTTCCCTCTCCTCTCTCAGACACCAGGGGCCTGAAGCCCCTGCAGGAGGACACCCCACAGCTGATGCGCACACGCAGTGATGTTGGGGTGC